GGATGCCCTAGGGTGGGGCAAGGGAAGGGGGCTGAGGCCTGGACCACTCACTCCCCAGCACAGGCACCACGGCAGCCCACCTTCCCTACTCACCCTGAGCACGCGGGGAGGGGTCCATGGTGCCAGGGAGGAGGGGCTGGGAGCCCGGAAGGCCCACGGGAGGCTGCGGAGAGGCGGGCAGCACTGGTGTGAGGCACCCATCTGGCCTGGTTCCTGCCTTCCTCCCTGCATCCCTCTTACCTGACTCGGCATCCGCAAGGTGGGCCGGGGGCCCCCTGGAAACCGCGGTGACATGAAGGGCTGGAAGAGGTTGGGGAGCGATCAGCACCTCCCTGAAAGCTACCCCGTTCCTGCTGTGCCTGAGCCCACCTGGGCAGTCCCTCCTCCAGAGCCAGGGGGCAAACCCAGCTCAACCGGGAAGGCAGCGCCCGGGACATTGGGATTGTGGAGGGGCAGCTGGGAGCCTGGGGAATATCAGAACAGACCAGGTGGGTTGGGGAACGACCCACAGTTAACTGTGGCCCTGCTGGGCCTGCCACAGAAGGGGAAAGGCTCCATGGAAGTGAGAGGGTGGCCAGCCCAGGGCGCAGGGGCCCTGAGGCAAAGGGTGAGCGCAGAACATGTGACTCCAATGACCCTCCCATCCTACTCCAGCCTACACCTGTCCACCCAGAGTTGGGGGACAATGGGCACCAGCCCTGGCCGTACCTGGAAGAAGCTGGCCGCCATGGGGCCGGTAGTCATTGCATCACTGGGAGCCATGCTGCCCATCACAGGGCTGGGGGCTGCTGCAGTGCTCTGCAGGGTGAGGACACCAAGGGCCAGGTCAGGACACTTCCTGCTGGGCGGCCCCATAGGAAGTCTGACTCTATCCGTGCTTGCGGGAAGGGGAGGGGCCTCTCTCAGGGCAGAGGGCAGTTGCTCCCCTCCAGACCAGCCTCTTGCCGGCGGGGAGTCCCAGCCTGCAATGAGTGCTGGCCTGATGCCTCTGTGGGTCTGAAGTGACAGGGACCCAGACTCCAGTGCAGGGTTCTAGCTAGCACAGTGTCCTGACTAGATGTTGCGGCTCCAGGCCCATCCCAAAGGGCTGGCAGGGCGGCTCCATGGGGCTCCCAGCTGTCTCCAAGACACCCCAAATAACCACCCAAGTCCACTGGCCGTTTCAACATCAGCCTCCGTAAAGGTTCCTCCTTGGAGCTGCTGGGCAGACCCTTCCAGTTGCTGCCTTCAGGAGGGGGAAGGGCAAGCAGGACTCTGGGGTGGGGGTCCCATGCCCCCACTCGCTCCTCGGAGAAGGGGAGAGCAGGGAGCTAGAGGGGGGCTCCCATGTCAGCCCAGAGCTTGCAGGGGACAGGCTGATGAGCCCTTGTGCTGGTGGGTCCCAGACCTGTCTGCCTTTGGGGCCAAAGGGGGGGAGGGGCAGGACTTCTCTGCAGGCGCCTTGACCACTGTCCTCGCATCATCGCCCTCCCGGAGCCCAGGTCCTGAACCCCAGAAAGGCTAGGGGCAGTTTGTGAGGTTTTGCTGCACTTTCCTGATTTCAAGGAGTAGGGATGGTCCCTTGGCTACCGAAGGGTCGGGATACACCCTCCCTCCTGCCAGTCCCCTTCCTGCCCCTTCTCAGAGGCCAGCCTTGAGCCTCCAGCGCTGTTCCGAAGCTTGGGAGGGCCGCAGGGGAGCTTCCCCGGGCCCACCGCGACCAGAACGCTCCGAGGGCACAGAACAAGGCATCTGAAAGCCCACGTTCCCCTGGCCCCACTCCTATGCCAAGTCCCAGTCCTAAACTGCTCACCAGGCCCCCCACAAAGGCCAGAGCAGCTGTGCCCACGGACTGCCTCGGGCTGGAGATCGCACCTCGGAGCCCAGATCTGTCCACCTCATAGGGAAGACAGCCCCCTTCGGCGCATGGCAGTCGCCGGTCTATTTCCTGGTTGAGAGGCCAAGGAGGCGGGGAGAGGACGCCCAGTCTCCCATCCCTGCGTCCCCGAGCCCCTCCCAACTCCAGGCACTGAGGAGTTAATCCTGGGCCGGCAACCCTGCCCCCATCCTCCCACCTCCCGAGGCTCAGGCTGGACCCCCTACGTCAATCATCCTGGAAGAGGGGCCCGGGCCGCCCCCCCCGTTGCCATGACGATGGGCTGGGCGCTCGCATTTCCTGGAGACGCCAAGGTCGCTGGGAGTGGGAACGGGAGGGGCGGGGGCCGGCAGAGCCCACGCGCAGGGCGGAGGAAGGGGCTGCCTCCGCGCTGGAGCGGCGGCCTGGCTTCCACTTGGGGCCGCGGGACCCCATCACCCCGGGCCTGGGCGCCACCGCCTGCTGGGCCCAGCGCCCTAGCGCTGCCATGGCAACCAAAGTGCCTGGAAGCGCATCCGGTTGGCAAAGCCCTTCCCATTCTGCCCTCCTCCCTCAGAGAGACCGCGGGACTGCAGGGCCTAGGCGGGAGCCGCGGGGGAGGGGGCGCAGGCTGGGAGGAGAACGGAGTCCAGGGATGCCGTGAAGGCGCAAGGAGGGGGGCCTGGGCACAACTGCGGGGTGTCACCCAGGCATACAGATCCAGACACCCAGATCTGCAGGCCTAGGACCAGGGTCCCACGCGCGGGCGGGAGTCATTCTGGGGAGAATAGCAGTGCACAGGAGGGCCGTCGCGCCGGCTGCCATGTCGTGTAGGCAGCAAGAGGCGCTTCGGGGACACGGGCACACCCGCCCCTGGGCACCTGGGATGGGGTCGGTCAGCAGGACTGGCGCCCCCAGACCTGGCACTGCCCCCGCAGACCTCGGAGCAGATGGCCAGGCACGGGGATGAAGGGATGGGCTGCATGTCGAGGTGTGTCCCCCCGCCCACACGACAGGCTTCTGACCCCTCAACCCAGGCAGGGAAACTGACGACAGGGGAGGGGGTGGAGGAGGAGGGTCCGATGCAGGGCCCCATAGGTCACCCCCTCACTCCCCAGCATGCTCCCACCTCGATGGCCCAGAGAGGCTAGGGGCAGGCAGAGGTGCCCCCAAAGCTGATCAGAGGGGAGGGAGGAAAAAAAACCTCCCCTACTCTGAGTGACCCTAGACCAGGAGAGGTGTAGGATCCGCAGAAATGCCCAAGATACGGATGGCAGGCACTCTTTAGCGCTGCCTGCCAGCCCCTCCCCAGATTACAGTACCAGCCAAACTCCCGCCCTGGTCTTCTGCTCTGAGTGGGGACTCACATAGTCCTGGAAGGCCTTGGCCTCGCTTGAGTGCTCACATGCTTCTCTGCGGTCCGGCGCCGCACAGTACAGGTCCCAGAACACGCTGCGGACAGCAGGACAGAGGGTTGCTGCCCGCGCCCCCCCCAGCCCTCTCCACACCCGCCCACCCGCGTCTCCACGCACCACCACCAGGAGTGCAGGAACCCGGGCGGCTCGCCCAGAGTGATGTTCTTCTCCCATCGGATCTGCAGGAAGAGGGAAGGAGTGAGGGTCCTTGCCTGACCCCACCCCACCACCCACCAGGGGCCCCGAGAGCCTGCAGGGAGGGCACCAGCCGGAGACTGGGGGCGGCTGCAGGGGAACCAGGGTGTGCAGATCCCCCATGTATGCAGATACGGGACGCCAGCCTGAGGCCCTGACCCTGTCCACCCCTCAGTCCCATGGACATCAGAAGAGCCCCCTCGCCCCACCTGGAGCCCCAGGCTGAAGGGCGCTTACCTCAGACAGGAAGGTCTGGGCTGACTTCTGGGCACCGACATGCAGCAGGTACTCGTACACATACAGTGCCAACCTACAGGATGAGGCTGGTCAGGCTCACCGCAGGCCAGCCCTGAAGCCTTCCTCCCTGACTCTCAGGTGGGCACAGGAGGAGATGGCCTCCTGCCAGAGCTCACCTCAGACAACTACTCATCTGTGGACACCCAGTCTGCAGGACCCTCCCAGGTATCCCAGACGCCCAATTCCAGGCTGAATTCCACTCAGCTCCACACTGAGCTGTGTCCTATATCCAGGTCTCGCTGCCTAAATCAACCGAAGCTCTACCAAGCCAAGGAAAGAAGAGCCCCTCCCCTTCACGGGATCAGCACCTGCCTACCAGCAATGGCCCCAACCTTTCCTGCAGACTGCCCCCAACAGGGCACCACTGGCCCCAGAGGAGTCTGGGAACACAGGTGGGCAAGGAGAGGTGGAGTAAGCAGTGCCACATAGCTGCCATGCCACTGCCTTGCGAAATGCCTGCATAAGTCCCCCACCTGCCAGGGATCCCCTGGACTTGGCCTTCAGCTGCTGGCCACCCCCTCAGGTCCCTTCTACTGCCCAGCCTGGCCCCACAAGGGATGGGGGGATGGAGGGTCCTGGATCCAAGATGGAGACTCCCCAAGGGTCACCCAGGCCCTCCCAGAGCCAACATCTCAGCCTCCTACTGGCCCTGACAACGCCTGCCCTAAAATAGCCTCCCGCTGACTCCTGCTCTGCCCCATCATTCCCTCAGCTCCCGGCTCCCCCCAGCCCCTGCACTGCCCTCCCCCATCCTACCCTTCCTCCTTCATTCATTCCCGTGCACAGGCTGGCATCCCCAGGCCCTGTCTGTGGGAGATAGGACGGGCATGTGGGTGGGCAGCAGCTCCCAGGAGCACTCCCAAGGTGTCTCAGTCCCCTATCATCCGCTCTTAGGAGGGCCGAGCCCTGGCCCTGATTCTGACTCCATACCCTCCAGGTCCTGTGTCTTCCTCAGCCCAGGCACCCTCTTGGCCCCTCAGGCCCCAGGACGATGGCCCAACCCACTTCTGCGAGCCCTGCCCTTTCCAGAGGCTTCAGTAGAGCCTGCATCCCTAAGGGAAGTTTGAGCAGCAGCGCCAGGTCCAGCAAGGATGACTGGGGTCCAGCGCCGCCACAGCAATGGCCCCACCACGCTCTGGGGAGAGCAGGGAGCATTCCAGGGGGGCTCAGAGCAGGGAGCATTTGGGGGAATCAGACAGAGCCCAGGAACCAAGGCCGGCCCCGGGAGGCAAAGGATGGGGGGCATGAGGTCTGACTGTATTGCTCTGACCTCCCAGCGGCAGCCTCTCCTGGGGCTCAGGTGATCCTGAAACAGCAGGTAGCCCAAGGCCTCTCCCACATGCCCCACCCTGGTTCCATCCCCCCCTTACTCTCCCTGGGCCTTGCTGCTTTCATGATATCCTTATGCAGTGGCTGCCTGTGGGGTGCTCCGGCCTCCTAAGTTTGGGCCGGTTTCACCTGACATCTCCAGGCCCAGCTCGACACCCCATCCTGCCTTTGTCCCAAGCCTCCACTCACAGGCCCACCCTCCTGAGGAGCCTCCGGTGGTGCTCATGGGAGTGGCCTGCTTGGCCACTGGCCGTGTCCACCCTCATGGCCCTGCGCCCACTGAGAAAGCAATGCCCAGGCAAGGTCGCTCTGCTCAGCCAGATCCCTCTCCCACCTCCCGACACCTGGCCCAGGCCGCCACCCCCACCCCGGCTCCTCCCGGGCTGTTTCCCCACTGCCCTCCCATCCCAGGGCCTTCGCAAGTGCCACTCCCTGCCTGGGGCAGTTCTGCCCAGAGACTCATGTGGCCCGTGTCCCCTATCACAGGCCTCTCAGTCAGCTGTCACCCCTACTCTGTTTTCCCACGAGTTTCATCATCACTGACACGTGCCACAGGCATACGGCTTGAGAGGTGGGGGCTTCCTCTCTCACTGTGGGGCTTAGAACACAGCCCTGGTCCCCTAGGACCCGTGCCCCCATGAACGAACAAATCACACCAGGACCCCTGGCATTGCTGAGAGGGTTCACCAAGATCAGGTAGAACTGAAGGCTGACCCTCAGTCCACGAAGGATTCTGGAATTTGTCCTCAGAGTTACGGGGAGCCAGAAGGTGGTTCGATTTTGCTGAACTACCTTACATGCTGCTGCAACTTTTGGCTTTTTATTATAGATAGATATATTTCCTATAGAGACATGGTCTTGCTATGTTGCCCAGGCTGGCCTCCAGCTCCTGACCTCAAGAATCCTCCTGTCTCAGCCTCCCAAAGTGCTGGGACTACAAGTGTGAACTATGTCCAGCTGGCTGGCTACTTCAACAGAAATCTTTCTCAGGGAAGGACCGTGGGTCATCTTCTGTTAGGGTGGAGTTCTGAAGCCTGGCTGTTTGGCAGGGTGAGGCACACCCACTCTAGCTCAGGGCACCAGGGACAGGCAGCACCAGTGGGGGCCTTGAGTTGTTATGGGCAGGGATCTGGACGCAAATCCCCCACCTGGCTAGGCCAGCACTGCCCCCAGGGCTCCCTGTGCCAGGAGGAATGGTGGGCAGATCTGGGCCTTGTGGGGGCGGGGGCTGGGGGGGCACATGGCGGCACTGGGTGCCCCAAGATGCATCACACTTGCTGCTGTAATTATACAGTCAACTAGATGACAGCGACACAGCCCTGCCCCATCTCTCTCCCAAATGCACCTGCCCGGGTGTCACTGCCTCGTCCATCCCCAGGTCCCATTGCTGCTCGAGGCCACCCAACCCACAGTTGTCCCCCGCCACCTTGAAGTCGGGTCTGCCGCCCCACCAAACGGAACCCTAATCCTAGCCACCTTCCTGGCCTCGCTTGGTGCTCCGTATCCCTCAGCGTGGCAGCTCAAGGGTGTCTCCCATGGGGCAAATGGACTCACATGCCTGTCCACAAACTGAGCCTGAAAAACGACAGGCAGTGCCATGGGCGTGGCTGTCACCGCAGAACTATCCTAAGTTGATCTGACAGCACTGAAGTGCACGGGGTGTGGCACCCCTCCCTCCCTGCAGGTGGCCCACTCAAGAGCTCGGCCTCCCCCATCCACCAGGACTGCAGGACAGGCACCCAGCAGGCACGGTGTGTTTGGAGATGCTGGCCAGATCATGTGAGGCAGGGGACCCAGGGGCTCGGGACCAGGCCAGAGGGAGAAGGTGGGAACGGCAGGGCCTTGTGCTGGAGAGTGGGGAAGGCTCAGGGCAGGAAAGATGGCACAGTGCTGGGACCCTGGGCTCAGAGCAGCCTGACCTCTTCACCCCACTTCATGGAGGAGGAAACCGAGGCCCAGAGACAGGAAGTGGCTGATGTTTCCTGAGCGCTGTGGCGGGATTCCAGATTGTTGCCTGTCACCCAGGCTTCGTAACAATTCCCAAAGGCAGGTCTCCCCTGTTTCAGACGAGGAAACTGAGGCCCAGGCCACCAGCACGTCTCTAGCACAGTGGCCCCCACCCCTCCAAGAGCTCCCGCAAGCCCAGAAGCTGAGGTCTCTGGGGTCCCTTCCCCTCCAGGGCCCAAGGGTCCTCCTGTGGGATTGGGGCACACAGCCACTGCTATTTCCTAAGCTTGTTCTTTTTTGTGAGAGTTGGGGTCTCACTCTGTCACCCAGGCTAGAGTACAATGACACGATAAGGCTCACTGCAACCTCAACCTCCCGGGCTCAGGTGGTCCTCCAGTCTCACCTCCATAGTAGTTGGACTAAAGGTGTGCGCCACCATACCTGGCTGTTTGATACATATATATTTTTTTACAAAGACAGTCTTCAGGATACCTGATCCTAAACCAGAGGAAGTGAGAACCAGTTGGAGGCCCAAACTTCACCTTCACATACATTATCTGATCCTGACTTGTACATCTTTCTAATAAAGTTAAAAAAAAAAAAAAAAAAAGGGTGTTGCTATGTCGCCTCAGGCTGGTCTCAAACTCCAGGGCTCAAGCCATCTTCCTGCCCCAGCTTCCCCAAGTGCTGAGATTACAGGCCTTAGCCACATGCAGACCCCAACTTTCCTTAGCACCATAAACTCACTCCCACCTGGCATGCCTATAGGACCCTCTGCAGGAAAGGGAAGACCCCAAGGCAGCTCTGGCAGGGGATGGCCTCTCCTGTCCCCGACCAACTGAGGCGTGGCCAGGGATGCTGGGTCCTGAAGCCAGTGTCCTCTGAGCCTCTGCCGAGGGTGAACAGCCCGGGGAGGGGCTAGAAAGCTGATGGGCCCTGACCAAGGTGGAGGCCAGGCTCACAGATACACATCTTGTGGAGATTCTGGTGTGGCCAGCTCCAGCCCACAACCTGGCTCAAATCTGCTTTTCACCTCCTTCTTACCCGCCCACCAGGTCCAGGCTGCCACCAGCCCTCTCCAGGACAAGCATGTCTCCCAGGATCCCCCACGCCCCATTTACAGGGGAGCCAAAGCAAACCTATCACAGTTGTTCCTGAGGTCACACGGCTCCCTCGTGGCCGTCCCTCCCCCTCCTGAGCCCAGCCTGGCCCCTCTGCCTGGTCCCTCCTCAGGGCCTTTGCCAGTCCTGTGCCCTGGCCTGACACCCCATCACTGTCACCAGCTTTCCTCCTCTGTCTCGAGCACTGAGATCGACCCGGCACCGCATTAGGGAGGCGAGTACCGAAGACTGCTTGAAACCAGGAAGTCGAGACCAGCTGGGACAACACAGACAGACCCTGTCTCTACAAAAAAGAAAACAAGCCCCGAGACACCTGATGGGTGTCAACCTCCTCCCTGCTGGGACCCTGACCAGGCAGGTGTGCTAACAAGTGACGATTCCTGCGAGGTGGTCACCTCCAGAGACGGGTCAGAGTTGGGGTGACCCTCTGCTTCCAACCCAAAAGTCTGTGCTGGGGGCGGGCGCCTCGAGCCCTCCCGCCCGCCCGCCCGC